TCGTCTGAGGAGGCGAATGGGGAATAGGTAGATCGGGAGCAGCTCGGGCAGAGGAGATCGGTGGAGGAAGCTCAGGCAGAGGAGGTGCCGGCCAGGTAGGGTTCTTTCTTTCTCTCTCCCTCTCTACTTATCTCTAGCTGAAGGGATCGGAGGGGTTCGGCTGGAGTGAGAGTGGAGGAAGGAGATGTGGGATCTGGAGGGATTTGGTCGGAGGAGGAGACGGGCTTCGGAAGATGGGGAGCTGGAGTTCGTGAGAGAAGAGGGAGATCAGGAAGCAGGAGGTTCTGGCGTTGAGGTTTGAGCGTGGGGAGGAAACAGCCTTCAGTTGGTGCGGTATTTAACGACGTGTTTGGGCTCTCGATCGAGGCTAGTCGCTGGTTTTGCGCAGGAAACACGGGACAGAGACTGAACGGCGCCGAACTCAGCGAGATCTCTGCATAAATTATGGATCCAATAGGTTAAAACTGGTATGCATTTCGTTTCATTCCTTTTTTGGTATTATGTGGAGGTTAACAAGCGTAAATATTTTCGCTGGAAATCTGCCGGAAATATTAGTTTCCGGCGGATTTTGGCCATTTTCCGACGAAAAATAGATGTCGGAATTTGACGTTTTTCCTGTAGTGTTGCAAAACTAGTGGATGTGTGTGGTGTGGTACTGGTGGATGTACCCACTTGATCTGCTTCGCCCCTCAAGACGTCCATACTTAGATCCTCTAGTTGTAGGTCTGATAATGACAAATTTATCTCATTATCTATGAATCACTTGTTATCAGACGCCACATCATCACATACCAATGGGTCCTCATCATCCTTCAACCCCATGTTCCTTAATCTCTTATCTCTCAACCTCCTATTGTTCATAATATACATAAGGGAGTTCATTCTGAGTGTTGAAAGTCAATTTCTTTTCTTTGTTTGCACTTGACTATATGTACTCCAGTTTGTCATGGTACTCTTTTTCATATAAGCTGTAATTTCCTCCTTCACCTTATCCGAAACATTCGCATAAGGTGATACATTCTTATGTGAGCCGGATAAGTGTTCCTTCATGCGATTTACTACTCCCTTTATCACCTTATCACAAAAATTGTATTTTAAGTACACATTATTCTTCTCGCCGCCTCCTACATCAACTTGCACACTATATTTCCAAGAAGGGTCATGCCGCAATGACGCATTTGCCTTTTTCTTACCTCTAACCATATTTCCTAATGCACAAATGCAAAAACAAACAAAAAATCTCAAAAAATTAAAACCATAGATTTTCTTTCACTTGAAATATCTTTCTTGAACTAAAAAAAAAAACCTAAAATTGGTAGTGGAGTTCAACTTGAGGGCGGTCGGACACTTCAAAATCGCTGGAGTGAGGCGGCGCCGGCGGGAGAGGCGGCGGGAAGAGAGGCTGAGCGGAGGTCGTGCGGCTTGCGGGCCTTCAACTTTTTTTGTCTGCTCGGTTTTGGGTAGGCAGATATGAGAGGGGAGGAAGAAAGCTTAATTCATTTAGCCCTTAAGTGTGGGTCCCGGTTACATGAGGCGTGCGCCTCACCTTGAATTGTGCAATTCAGCCTCAGAGGAGCGCCTCACACTGATAGAGGCGTACGCCTCATGAAGAACCAAAAAGGCTTGAGCAATGAGGCTATTTGGGCCAGAATTGCACAGAGGCGCGCCTCAAATTACGCAATTTTAAACTATGGTGTAGCCGACCCCATAGTGGGATGAAGGCTTGTTGTTGTTGTTTTTTATTAATTTAGTAAGTTATTGTATTAGTTTATTATAGTATAGAGTTATAGACAATTCCAAGAAAAAATAAAATAATATTGATGATTATTTATAAATTATTTTTTTGATTTTTTAATATTATGTAAGTTAATCATTTCGACATTTATGTTATTTAACATTATATTATGTCTTATATTAGTTAAATTTATTATAGTTCAAAGAAAAATATTACAAAACAAATTGAATTCTATTTTTTTGGTAATTGGGTGATTATTTATATTTTATTATTAATTTGTTATGTAATTTATTTAGTTTTAAGTTTAATTTGTTTATAGAAAATATCATTTAAAATTACTGTAAAAAGCATTTAAAATTATATAGTTAATTGATATTAATATATTATTTTAGATGATTAGAAGATGAATTATGTATTGTAAATTTAATTTTATTTCAAGTTATTTTTTTAGTTTGTAAGTATTTATTGTTTAGTTAGATATTTTATATATGTAGTAATATTATTAGATGAAGTATTGTTGGTAACATATAATTACATAGCTAGTTTATGATAATTGAGCAATATCATTTATTTGATGTAACTGCTGACAGAGATTTGTAACATCATATAAGTGATACTGTATTAATGTTCAATCAAATACTGTTGTAGTAGGTGGGTCAGACCGTCAGAGTAGATAGTTATTTAATATGTTGCTCATACCCATTTTTATTTATTTATTTTATAATTGACTGACAACTTTGAACACTGACATTTAAGTGACGCAACAATGAATATAAGTGAACATTGAGAGTAGTTACATATCTTAGGAATTGTTTGTTAAAGTTTTTGTTACAAAGTTTTTTCAATTTTTTTTCTTCGGAATTCATGGACATTGCTCAGAGAAATATTGCGGAGTACCCATAAAAGAATTATTAGCTATTGTCAGCATACAAATGAAGTAATTTGTGAAAAAGAGCATTTAATAGCCCATTAGAGTTGAAGGAGAAAGTAAATGAAGTTTTTCGTTGTTGTATACATGTCTGGACATCAAATAAGAATGATCTACTTTAGGATTTGCATGCGGAAGTCATGAGGAGACAGAAATGAGACGGTAGAGTTCCTAACTAGTGATAAATGGAAATATGTTGAAAAAATTTCTGGAACAAGATCGTTATAGAATTTATATTTACCATAGTTAACAATATGAATAACAAAATGAACAACATTAATTTTGCATTCCATATTGAGTACTACATATAAGTATGCTCATACATTTAATCACAATGACTTGTAGACAACATAGCTCGAATGAATTAGCATAATCTTTCATTAAACAACGTATTTTATCGAGCTTAAAGTTGGGTTTGTGCTGGGCAGCAATGGATGTAATGCTCAAACTATGCTAGAGAGCTTTTACTAATCCTTTCTATTTAAGAACTTTCGTTTCTTGTCTTGAGGCAATAATTTTATAATCAGTTTTTTTATAAATGTTCAAAATAAACTCATTCTCTATTGAATTCCAAGGATGATAAAGAATAACATGTCCAAGATGAATTTTTTGTTTGCCAACATTAGCAAACGTACCACCAAGTTTTTCTCAGCATAACTCATAATATTGCATTTGAAGAAAGTGTGCGTCTATCAAATGACGATCTTGTTTCAGAAAATTTTCTTCAACATATTTTTATCAATCACCTTTTAGGAACTCTCCCATCTAATTATTGTCTCCTCATAGATTCAACATGTAAAGACCTAAATAAATCATTCTTATTTGATGTACATACATGTATACAACACTGAAAATTTTTATATTTCTTTGTCTTTAGCTCTAATGGTCTATCAAATGATTTTTCCACACATGCATTCATTTGCATTCTTACAATAGCCAATAGTTTTTTCGTGAACACTGCAATACTTCTCTATGCATTGTCACTGCATTACGAAGAAAAATTTTAAGAAAATTTTGTAATAAAAAATTTTAGCAAATAATTCTTAAGAGATGCAGTTACTCTCATTATTAACCTACATTTATTGTTGCATCACTTAAATAGTAGTGCTCAAAGCTACTAGTCATTTATAAAATCATAAAAATTTTATATCAACAACATATTACTTTGATATCTTCTCTAATCTACCTACTACAATAATATTTGATTAAACATTAATGCAATACAACTTATATGATATGATAATTTTTTGCATGTAGTTACATCAAATAAATGACACTCCTCAATTATCATACACCAATTATATAATTTTATGCTACAAATAATACTTCATCTAATAATATTGCTATATATACAAAATGTCTAATTAAAAAATAAATATTTATAAGCTAAAAAAATTGAAATAGAATTAAGTTTACTATACTAAATTTATCCTCTAATAATATAAAATGATATATTATATGACTTAACAAATTTATTTTAGTTGCTTTGTACAATTATTTTAAATGATATTTTTTGTAAAAAAATTATACTTAAAACAAAATAAATTACAGAATAAATCAATAATAAATTAGAAATAATCATCCTATTACAAAAAATTAAAATTATAAATTTATAATATTTTTCTTTCAACTTTAACACATTTAACTAATATAATACATAATATGATGTTATATAATATTAAATGCCAAAATGATTAACTTACATAATATTAGAAAATCAAATAAATAATTTATAATTAATTATCAATATTATTTTTAATTTTTCTTAGGATCACCTGTACTATAATTAACTAATATAATGAATAATCATCATATAATAACTTACTAAATTAATAATAAATAGTTGCATGTAAAATGATATATAAAAAAAACGTCCAGTTGCCCGTCCAATGAACTTGTTCACGATAAAAAAAAGGGTTGAATTACTAAAAAAAAAAAAAGACCAGTCGCCCGTTCTTCTGGCGATTGGTTTAGGATTAAAAAAAAAAGATTGAATCAGCCAAAAAACCATCCGAACGGAAGCTGATGTGGAGAGCCAGTAGCCCTTTTAAAGGGCCATTGTGGCGTCTGTTTTTTTGTTTTTTGGTTTTTATTTAGTTTTAAAGTTTATTAATTCTAATATTTATCAATTCCAATCTCTTTTTGGCACTCACGTCAAACCCTTGGTCAATGTTACAGAACAAAATTGTTTCTGAGATGTTGGTTGAAGTCGTACTTCATTTTTGCCAGTTGACGTGAAATTGTATATGCCATAGTTATATATTCGTGTCATTTTAAATGTAACACAATAATAGCTGAATAGAGACAGTTCTGAGTACATTCTGGTCGGCATTAAAGGGAACTGTGAGGCTGCTTTTTCAACCTGCTGAAGAGGGTGGTGCAGGTGCTTTTCACATGATCAAAGATGGTGCTCTGGATGGAGTGGATGCAATATTTGGTATGCATGTTGACTATGAATTACCTACAGGCAGCATCTCATCACGCCCAGGACCAACACAAGCTGCTGTATGCTTCTTTGAAGCAAGAATTGAAGGAAAAGGTGGTGATGGTGGAGCTCCTCATCTTAATAGTGATCCTATAGTTGCTACAGCCTTTGTTATCCTGGCATTGCAACAGCTCATTTCCAGAGAAGATGACCCTCTTCATAGCCTGGTATGTTACTTTGTTCAAAAACATGAGTTCTTTTTTTTTTCCAGAATTTAGTTTATAGTCGCCTTGATTGAATTTTTTCTTTGAAATTTTGAGATGTCACTTTGAAACTGTAAATAGCACTATTGTCTAGTCTATGTTTCTAAGTTTATTCTTGGATAGTTAAATTACAAAGCTACATTGAGTTGATTGGATGTGCAGGACGAGTTAAGTTGAATTACAAAGTTTCATTGAGTAGAATGATATGCAGCGGTCAAAATACAAAGATGTGCCCACGCATCTCCAATTTTCTCACAATTACTTTTAACATTCTTGGCAGGATTTTGTTCCGCAAGTTTGTTATTTGAAAATTGTCCTGCTATAGTTACATTTATGAAAAGTTAATTGCTCAAAATATTTTCTAAATCTGCGGATGGTAATATCATGCAGCTGTAGGCCATTCTTATTGGAAAACCTATGGGGTGTATGGAACTGGGAATCCTCACTGTTCCTTATAAACTTCCATCCATTCATGGGTACTGTTAGTGGTTGAAGAAAATGAGCTAGTTATATTTTATACTTCATGTTCCAATCAAAGGAGCATGTAGATCAAATAAAAATTCTGTTAGGATAAAGCTTGCGAAGGTCATAGACTTTTCTACATGCGCAAAGTGAGTGCAATACATCTGCTTCCACTATTTAGCCTTTACTCTTAGTCTATGCAAATTTAGTAGTACAGTTTAATTTGTAATAGATGGGGATATAATTAGTAGAATTCAAGTTGGATGGTTGAAAATTGAAATTGAGGAATGCATCATGCTTATTGTGTGATAGGAAAGTACCCCTCAAACTGAAGTGAAAATTCTATACGATGGTGGTGAGACCTGAATGCTTTAAAATATTGGCCATTAAAAGAGAAGCATAAAATTAAGTTAAATGTTATGGAGAACAGGATGCTTAGGTAGATAAGTGGCTTCACGTTTATAGACAACATGTGAAACGATTATATACGTGAAAAGGTTGGAGTAGCTCCAGTGGAAGATAACATTAGAGAGAGTCGTATTATATGGTTTGGTCACATAAAACACCTATTTTCTGTTGACCGAGTTAGGAGAGTAGATGTATTAGATCTGACCTATGTTAACAAAGATAGAGGTAGACCTAAAAAGATTTGGTTAGAAAATATTATAAATGACTTTTTTTATTAGATTTAAATGAGATTTGACTCTTAAAAAGACACAATGGATAAAACGAATTTAGGTAGCCGGTAACAATGCACACTGTAACAAACTTTGACAAGCAACAAACAAGCACATGTCTGAAATGATCTCAGCCGCTCATCAGTAACAAACAACTATTGCCATCTTACGTCCACGTGTATTCTACAATAGCCTATCTCTATGTAAAGTGTACACTGCTATAGTAAAAGTGACATGGAGAACTTACTATTTCCACTAAATTTACTTGTTCTGTTCTCTGTATGTGTAGTAAGCTAATCTGCTCTTCTAGCCATTATAGTCTTCTGCTGCAAGTTTGAAGACTTCTACATGGTATCAGAGCAGGCGTAAAGCATAAAGAACACCTATGGCACAATTAGCTTCCTCTCAGATAGGAGAACCTTCTTCAATTAATCAAACTGAGGCCTCCATCATATCTCCTTCCTTGAAATTCGTCACTTCCAACATCAAAAACCTTGTCAACACTCAATTATCCAATGATAACTATTCTCTATGGCGATCTCAGGTGTGCAAACTTCTTCGTGCCAATGGGTTCTCTGCTTATTTCGATCCTTCATACACACCTCCCCCTCGCTTATCTCCACAAACTGAAGGCACGCCCATACCAAATCCATTATATACACAGTGGATGCTTACTCATCAAAACTTAGCCACCACCATCTGTTCCACCATTAATGCATCAGTGTTACCCTACATTCTTGATCTTGACTCAACAGCTGCTATTTGGACCACTTTTGTGCGATGATTCCAATCCTCAAATTGCTCTAGGGTAATCCAGCTCAAAAATGAGCTTCACAATATATCAATGAAAACTCAGAGCATGACCCAATATCTGTCTGAAGTCAAATCATTAGTCGATCATATTGCTGCCGCGGGATCCACTGTTGACATTGAGGATATCATCATCTACACTCTCAATGGTCTTCCATCTTTCTATCAAGCTTTTAAGACTTCTATACATGCCATGCTCACACCCATTAGTCTTGTAATCTCTATGCACTTCTCCTTAGTGAAGAAATCAATAAAGCAGCAGAGGCAGCTCGTATTATCTTCATATCATATCCCCATACAACCCTCTACTCATACAAAGGTCGTGGTCGTCTCTCTTGAGCCCGTTCACCTCAGAATTTCAGTAAGACTACTTGACCCAGCTCTGCTTCTTCATCGATTGGTCAGATCTGCAACAAGAAGGGTCATACAGCTTCAATATGCTGGCATCGTCTGAACGTTAACTACGTTCCCAATCCTTCTCCTACACATAATAGAGCTCTGATGGCAGGTTCAGATTCTCCTTCTATAGATTGGCTTCTTGACTCTGGCTTATCCTCTCACCTTGCCAACTCGCTCAACAACATGTCCCAGTACTTGTCTTATCAAGGTGCAGATGACATTACTATCGGTGATGGTAGCTCTATTTGTATTGCAAACTCTGGTGATGGCATCCTCCCAACTCCACTTCGTTAGCTTAAACTTTCTCCTCTTCTCCATATACCAGCTATCACACACAATTTACTTTCTGTTTCAAATCTAACCAGAGATAACATCTCCATCACTTTTGATTCCTCTGGATTTATCTTCAAGGATATTCGCACAAATCAGATCATACTTCAGGGACCATGCCGTGACAGATTATATCCTCTCTCCACCACCTCGCTAGCTCCCAGTCCGACTGCCTTCACTGCTACCAGCTCCAATGCGGCCCTATGGCACAACCGTCTCGGTCATCCCAATCATCATGTCACAACATATATCTCATACACCAACCCTTTACTTAAAATACCTAGTTTCTTTTTTGATTGTGTTTCTTGTAAGACCTCCAAAGGTCATAAGTTCGCTTTTGATATTTCTTCTAATCGTCAATCTAAACCACTATATGTAATTCATTCGGATGTATGAGGATCTTCCAATCAAGGATACAAGTATTATGTGATTTTTATCGATGACTTTTCTTGCTTTACCTAGTTATTTCCCATGCTATTCAAGTCCGATGTTATCAAAATATTTACCAACTTCAAAAATCTAATTGAAAACACCTCTCATAAAATAAAATATCTCCGCATAGACGAGGGCAAAGAATATCTGAATCATCAACTATCTCAATCAGTGTTTAAAATTATGTATTTGGGTATTGAGGCGTTTTTCATTCGTGAGGCGAGGCGTAAGCTTCAAGGCGTTTTGAGGCGTAATACGCCTCAAAATCAAAAGATTGCGTAAACATAAAATGATAAATTTTTTATATACTAATGAATGAATAATATAAAACATAAAAATGCATAAGATATGAAGTGAAATCAAAATATCCCAATAATAAGACAACATGAAATATAGTTCAACTCAAAATTCTATATTTCCCAAATCTCAGTATTCTTTTCATTAAAATATAATTTCAATTTCAAAAAATAAATAGCAATGACATATCACATAAGAACTCATAAGTCATCGGCACTGTCATCACTAAGGGGTTCTTCATTTGAATCATCATTATGATGAATTGCTCTCTCCCCTTCCTCTACTATAGAGTCTAATGTCGGGCATTTACTTCAAGATTTATGTAAGTTTTAATATATATAGCGTGAGGCGTAAGCCTCGTGCTAGTGAGGCGAGGCGGGCCTCAAGGTGAGGGTAGGTGGGCCTCAACCAAGTTGAGGCGCAAGCCTCATAAAAAAAACTCGAGGCGTAAGCATTGAGACGTTTTTTACTGGAATTGCGCAAAGGCGGGACTCAAGGCAAGCCTCATATTGCGCAATTTTAAACCATGATCTCAATTCCCTGAATAACATGGCATCCTACATCAAATCTCCTGTCCCTATACCCCGGAGTTGAACGGTGTAGCTTAATGAAAACACCGGTATATTCTTGATACAACTCGTATGCTACTTCAAACAGCCTCTGTTCCATACCAGTATTGGCTTGATGCAGCTCTCACCGCCACTTAATAAACCTCATGCCCTCTACCAATACCCAAAATTAGTCTCCATGTCAACTACTCTATAACATACCGTCCTCCTACTCCCATCTATGTTTGGCTGCGAATGCTTCCACCTAATCCCATCTCCACTACACCACAAACTACAACCAAAATCAAAATCCTATGTCTTCATGGGCTATTTGGACTCATACAAGGGTTATAAATGCTTAGACCCCACAACCAATCATGTCTACTTTTCCAGAAACATCTCTTTGATTGAAAACTCTTTTCCCTTCATCAAATACTTTGCATCTATAAATCTGTCCCTAGTCACATCACCTTTACCAGCCGAACAAGCCACCCCTCATTTTCTAGTTCCTACATCCACCATCCAACACATCCGTCCTCTCTATTCATCCATCAACCACACACTGTACCTCTACCCCCACTGTCCCAGTCACCAATCTCGAATCACATAGCTATCACCCAATCAAACACTCCTCTCTCTATACCCTTAAGCAATCCAGCCCCACCTCCACAAGCTGTTCATCACCCCATGCTCACTCGCTTTCAAACAGTTTCTCTTAGGCCTACAAATCATTTAAATCTCTTCCATCATCAAACACCACTCTCCACTCCATTTGACCCAACCTCCTATTCCGCTGCCATCAAAAATATATAATGGAGAAAGGCCATGGCAGCCGAATTCTTTACCTTACAAAAACAGGGAACGTGGATATTAGTTCCTCTTCCGTACACATCGGTCCTTGAATGTCGCTGAACGTATCGCACCAAACATCATGCTGACGGGTCCATAGCTCGCTTAAAGCCAAATTAGTAGTGCAGGGAAATCATCAACAGCAGGGTATCGACTATACTAAGACATTCAGTCCAGTCGCCAAACTTCCAACCATCAGAGTTATTCTTAATGTAGCTCTTCATCATGATTGGTCGGTTCAATGTAGCCAATGCTTTCCTATGCGGAAACCTCACCGAAACAGTCTATATGGCACAACCCAAGGATTTTGAAGATGCTATCAATCCAAATCACGCATGTCTCCTCCGCAAATCCATATATGGCTTAAAACAGGCCCCTCAACAGTGGTATAACACATTTACTACACAACTGATGTCTCTTGGCTCAACAACACCAAGTCTGATCCTTCTCTCTTGCTCTTTAACCAACAGGACATGCAAATTTACTTGCTTTTATGCGTGGATGACATCTTGATTACCGGAAACAAACCATCTGCTATCTTCACTCTCATTCAATAACTTAATGGCAACTTTAACATAAAAAATCTCGGTCTGGTACACAATTTCTTGGGCATCAACATCACTCATATCACCAATTAGTATTTTCTCTCCCAACAAGCCTATGCCACATACATTTTGCAACAAGCTAACCTCACCAAATCTAACCCCCTCTCCAATCCTAAATTCACCAAACTACCTCCTGATTCCCGCTGATCTTGTGCTCTCCGATGCCACACTATATCGTCGACTCATGGGTTCACTGCAGTATCTCACGCTGACGCGTCTAGACATCACATACGCCATTAATATTCTCTCACATCATATGCATAACCCTCAACAGTCAGATGTTTACCTTCTCAAACGCACACTTAGGTATATCAATGGTATGTTATCTTATGGTATACCCATCACTAAGAGCTCTCTATCTCTCACGTCTTTTTCTGACTCCAACTTGGTCGAAGAACCAGTTTCCCGAAAGTCCACCTCAGGCTATTGTTCTTTCCTCGGTAATACACTCATTTCATGGAGTGATAAGAAGCAACACACCGTTGCCCTATCATCGACAGAGTAGGAGTATAGAGCTCTTGCAGCGGCCACTGTTGACATCTTGTGGCTTCGGCATCTACTCTTCGATTTTAACATTCCTCCCTCCCTACCTACAGATTTATATTGTGATGATACGTCGGCCATTGCACTCGCAAATAATCCAGAATTTCATGCGAGAACCAAGCACACAAGATAAATCACCTGTTTGTCAGAGATCATATCCATAACAACAATATTTGCATTCTCCCCATCAACACAATTGATCAAGTTGCCGACATACTCACAAAACCACTATCTACACAGTGCTTCTCTCTTCTCCGAGCCAAACTGACTTTCATTCAAGACCCCTCGATTTGCGGGGGCATAACAAGGCACACCGTAACAAACTCTGACAAGCAAGAAACAAGCACATATCTGAAATGATCTCAGCCGCTCATCAGTAACAAACAACTATTGCCATCTTAGGTCCATATGTATTCTACCATAGCCTATCTCTATATAAAGTATACACTGCTACAATAAAAGTGGCATGGAGAAATTATTATTTCCACTAAATGTACTTGTTCTGTTCTCTGCATGTGTATTAAGCTAATCTGCTCTTCTAGCCATTATAGTCTTCTGCTGCAGGTTTGAAGACTTCTACAGCCGGGATAAAGACTTTATGTTGTTGTTGTAGCAGTTTAATTTGTAATATTTATTTGATCATTCATAAGATCATTTTGTTATTTTCAATGCTAAACTACTTGCTTGATATTGTTGATATGCTTGGCATTTTATCATAGTTATTAGGGTTAGATTGCCCAGAAAAATGATGGCTACTATTATAAATAAGAATTGTTGGGATGTGATTATGAAATTGCATTTCGTCTTTACATTATTTCTCCAGATAGTTTCTCCTCTATTCTCCTAACCACGTCTTCTTCATGCTTTCTTTCTCATCATCTACGTTTTTTTAGGCATTCTATTCTTATTAATCTCCTTATTTTGTTCTCTCTCTAGTTGACTATTCATGGGATTCCTCTCGAAAATAACGTTTAAGAGTTCAAATTCATCACTTCTCCCTGCTCTGCAGCACAAACTTTGCTACGTGGCTAGAAGTCTTGGTACCCTAAAGTATGAAAAATTGTGTTTAAAGGGTTTGATGTGACAGGAAACTTTGGTGCTGAAACTTTTTCATTTGTTTGCGTGGACATTTTTAATGGGATAGACTATATATTTGGGGGAGTGAGGAAGTTGCATTGCTTTTGATTGGGACACATTTATGTTTCGTTCCTGCAAGTCAAGATTAATGTTCTTGCAAAAAAAAAAAAAAAAGATTAATGTTCTTGCCCATTAAAAAAAAAAAGCACAAAATTTAGGGGCTGTGTTTACTTGTCTATACACTTGGAGAGAGAGGCCAAGGATAGGTATAGAGGACATTATTTAAGAATCGAATGTGTAATGGTTAGCTGCAGTGTCGGATTCGTTGCATATTTGCTTGGACTTTTTTTGGGGGGGGTGGGAGTTACCATATTGGACGGAAGAAGTTGCATTTATTTATTCAAGAAATGATTCAGGAACTGTTTGATGGCTAAACTAGCTTTTTTGATGCTTCTTAAAGCAGCTTTTTAGTTAAAAAAAAAATTAAACTTTTGTATTAAAACCTGCTTTAAGAAGTAGTAGGAAAGCCGTCCCGAACGAAATTTAAGGTTTCGTTTGAGACGGCTTTCTTACTGCTTTTTAAAGCAGTTTCTTAGTAGAATTTTTTTTCTACGAAAAAGTTGTTTTAAAAACCCGTAAGAAAGCTGTCCTAAACGAAACCTAAGATGGTTGGTTGTGGTGTATATTTTTGTGAAACTATGAGTCTTTACACCTGAAACTTGGCTATTTTCAAAACTAACATCCACAATACCGTATGCTTATTTTTTGGTTAAATAATTTCACTATTTTTGCAAGCGGCACTTGGAATTTATAATAATCATCTAACAAACCATTGAAGCTGGTCACAACCTATGTTGTAGCAACACCACAGATTTAAATATTATGTTTTTTGGTACAATATAGCTAGATTTGTTATTGTTTATATAGTTGGTTTGACTGTTCTAATTTTTTTTGCCTTCATGCACATAGTTCATCAAACGTTGAAAAAGAACCTAGAAATTTTTGTGAAGCATTACATGATCTTTTTTTTTTCTTCAAAATTTTTAGAAATAATACAGATATGTATTAGTTTTTTTTTTTTTTATTTCTTTGATACTTGAGTTGTTTTTGTGGCAGGTACTTTCTGTTACTTTTACGAAAGGTGGTGCAGCTTATGATACAACGCCATCTTTTGTCGAATTTGGAGGAACTTTGAGAAGTATAACTACAGAAGGTCTATACAGACTCCAAAAGCGAGTGGAAGAGGTTAGATTTTTCTTGTTTTTTTACAAGGAGATTCATGAGTAATAAAATTAGCAAGCAAAGCATCTATAAGGCATTGTTTATTTTTAAAAAATAATTAATGCCTTAGGCTTCATTTGGGATAACTTTTTTACTGCTTTTTAAAATAATATTCTAGTATAAAAATTTCTATTTCAAAAATTTTTTGTACTAACAAACTGTTTTAGAAAACAGTAAAGCAGTCCCAAACAAAATCTTAATTATTCTCACTAGACATCAAAATTTTCAAGTAGCATTATGAGTCATTATTCTCCATTCGATCCTGCTGAATGTCGCATGTGGCTTTAAATTTATTTTGCATTATGCTTTTAATTCAACTTTTATTCATGTTACCTTTTGCATTTCTATTTTTCTTTGTAATGCTTTAACATTAACATTTTAACCCGGTCTATACATGTATTTATATACTTTGATCAATATATCCAAATCACCAAAGTTTATTTTCATTTCTTTTATATTTGATAGATGTTATTCCCATTATCATTTAGTATAATTTTTTTATCTATCCTTTCCAAGATAAAGTAATCTTCAAAAACTCACGGCCATATTCTCCAGTCCTGATTTTTATGTTGCACGTCTCATGTCTGTGTTGTAAGAATTTCAACTTTTTGGTAAAAGATTATTGTTGCATTGTTATGCGTTCATCGAATTACCAAAATAGATATTATAATGAATTTCATATAAACTTATAGAATAAGATCATAATGTTTACAGTCTTAGAATTCATTACAAATTATTAATCACTTTGTTAGATAGAAATATAATAGTAAGCTACCTAAATTATCTTTCCTTGAAAGTTTTTTTTTAGTTCTTATATAATTGAAATTTTTTCTCAGTTGTTTTTCCAAACATTGTAAAGTATGGCCAACAAAATCTTATAGCAATTTCTTCTTCTTTATGCTTCGGTTGGGACGGCTTTTTTACTATTTCTTAAAGCAGCTTTTTAGTATAAAAATTAAAATTTTTGTACTAAAAAGCTCTTTTAGGAAGCAGAAAGAAAGCCGTCCCAAACATAGCCTTAGACTTGATAGATGATTATTGCTGATACATGCATGGAATACTCATGGTGGTCCAGGTAATAAAAGATCAAGCATCTGTACACAGATGCAATTCATTTGTAAATATGAAAGAGGATGAATACCCAGTGTACCCTGGTACTGTAAATGATATGAAGTTGCATCAGCACGTAAAGATGGTTGGTGGTTATTTGCTTGGCTCTGATAAGGTAAAAATGGGGAAGAAGATAATGGCAGGTGAGGATTTTGCATTTTACCAGCAGTTGATTCCAGGTATCATGCTTTCTATTGGAATAAGAAACGAGAAATCTGAAAGAGTGGATCCCCCTCACTCTCCGTATTTCTTTGTTGATGAGGATGTTCTTCCCATTGGAGCTGCATTGCACACCGCACTTGCAGAAACCTATCTCATGAAGCTTGTTGAGTGAATTCTGACTAAGAAGAAAATATCATTTTTTTTACATGGAAAAATACTTGCACATAAAAATTCTTGTGATAAATATTTTGGGAAGATTATGGAAACACCATTATTTTCTTAAGATTTGCAATGAAAACATTTGAGTTAGTTTTCTCACTAATTTTTCGTCATATCTGTCACCAGAGAAACATCTAAACGAAGGAACGCAAATCAGCCACAAACCATGATAGGCTTACATGTTAATTCTTAAAAATTGATTACAAGTCTTTAAAGTGATCAATAACTCGCAAATGATCGGAGAGCTATAATAAAAAAAGACGATAAAAATCTAAGAGACAAGGATCCCTAACTAAATACATGAGGAATAAAAGATAAAAATTAATGAAAAGTATTTTTTCAGTACTTATAATTAAAAGTCAGAAAAAAAACAATAATTAAAGTCACTGGTTGATGTTTCAAGATATAAAATTAAGTAAGATAAATTAAATATTTGAGTACCATACAAAATTTTGAAAATTTGAACTTATAAGTATTCATCCTAATAATAATATATTATATGATTTAATATTATATCAATATATAATAGTTAATTTCTCAAGGATTCTATATAAATTCTTTTAGAATATAATGAATTATTGACTTTTAGCCTAATTTGATTTTCATACATATGAAGCTCACAATTTCATTAGAATTAGAATTAGAATGGTCATTATTAAACATTAATCAAAAGATATCTAATGAAAAATGCAATAAAATATGATATAAATGATGAAAATGTTCAATATTTACATGTTTGCCCTACTAAATACTAATGCTTACATAAATTCTTAGAAGTAGAGATGAAAATAATTTAAAATGTATAAAATTTTCAAATAGTAATAATAGACACATAACAATAGGTTTATTATATTGATGGACAACCTTCTTATAAAAAATAAAGCTAAATGGCTTAAATATTGTATATTATGAATTATGTATATTAATTTGAATGTTTCATATTCTTCTTGGGCATTTTCGTGAAGCTCTTTGATATGTTGGCACAATTTTATTTTTTCTATAAAATTTTTAATTGAAGGGTGAGATAGAACATTTAATTTGTCAATGACATTTTGGTCATTATTTATAAGAGCAATTGCAAGCGTCAAAATAAAGAAGATCAAAAGAATCATGAAATGAAATTTTTTAAATTGTTAAACATGAGCTCCAATCACACTCAAATCAACTCAAAGAGGTTGAACTCCTCAAAATTTCTAAATAGATATTATATTTTCTATTGAAGATAAATATATCTTTCTAGTAAGTTTTTATTTGGATTATCAATGAAGTTTTTTTTATATAAATAGTATTACATCTAACAAAAATCCTTACAAGGCGCACTCATGAGATAACCTCAATAGAAAACTAGTAGTGGATAGGGTCGTCTCTATAAAGACCCCATGAGGGTAAGTGGCAAACAGGAGCTCCACTCATAGGATAGCCTCGGTAAGCTAAATGTGTCTACGATCCTCACTAGAAGCAATCCATTAGAGCAAGTGATTTATAGGGTCTTCACTCATCTACAATCTCAAAAGGTAAAAGCATCAGAAGGTTTAGGTTTATCTAAAAATTTTAAAAAATAAAAGTTTCAAAAGGAATAGGTATACTAAAAATCTTAGAAGATAAAATCCTCAAAAGATATAGGTATACCTAATACCTTAGATGGTATAAGTCTCATAAGATGTAAGATCATTCAAAAATCTTAGAAGGCATAAACCTCAAATATATGTACAACAAAAATCTTAGAAGGATTAAAGCCTTAAAAGGTACACGCTTCTCTGATTCTCCACAAATATGAATAGGCTAAAAATATTAGAAGGTATAGGTTTCTCTAAGTCCTTTGAAAACCTCAAAAGGATAACTGCATCATCAGATATAAGTATTATAAAAAAATCTTTAGGTGTAAAATTTAGGAGATCTAACAAAATCCGGATCTCTATGCTCTAACGGGGTTGGGCTATAAAGGACTTAGTTTCCTTTAGGAGGCAAGTTCATAAATCTCTTGCACAATGATGAAGAGTTCATTATTTCAAACAAATTGAATACAATTATAAATCAAGATTACACATGAAAAAGTATACATTTCAAGGCCACATATAAAGCTATTACATTATGTCAACAAAGTAAATTTTAAAATTGCCACACTAGCTGTCAATATGTAAACTTTTCCACTAAAAGTTTGATGCAAGGAGTTAAAGATCAAACTCCATGAATTGAGAGAAGATTAAAACTTCAAAATGTGATGAAAAATCTCTCAAAATGCAGTTTGTAAACTCTCTTTCAAGATGAAGATCGAAGCTTCATCATTGAGATAAAAATCCTAAGAATTACTCATAATTCTACTTGTTTGGTGATTCAGTACTCCTAATGGAAAAGAATTTGGAGATTATAAGGGGTATGCATAGCCCATCAAAGATAGTATTTCACTAGAACTTGTGAAGGGAGAATTGTGCATTGTTGAACCCCATTAGCCTGGTGCTCACAATAGGGTTTTGATGATTATAAATAATGTTGGTTAAGTAATTACAAATTATAGTTATATGTGCAGAACTTTTGCTTTTAACTAATATTTCAAGTAAATGGATATCTACTGCACCATAGATGTGTTCAGGAAGAGAAGTTGGTTAAGCTTAAGAACTTGCAAATATAAGGACCTCAAGGATAAAAAGAAGTCAAAGAAAGCAAATACATCATTCTATAACCTTTTTTTTAGTATTTCTTTTTGTATTGGATTAAATTGGGCTAATTAACTAAGTGCACACACACACTAGAGTGTAAAAATCTTAAGGATAGACAATTTGAAAGTTAATTAAAGCATTGAGTTTCTAATCAAATTGTACCATATGATTTTTATTGTATTGTATAATGCTACTATGATAAATTTTTAAAATCATATAACTAAATGATATTAATTAACATAAAATTAAATTTAAAATTTAAATAATAAGTCATATTACATGATTCATATCACCCTATATGATCTGTTCTTTGAAGTTTAAACAGTTGATTTTTTGTATTTCAAAAAATAGTTAAATTTAAAATTTGAATAGTTCGTAATGTACAAACCTAATTTGTGCTCAAAGATATGTTAATTATTTGGCATTTGCCATAAAAAATGTATATATAATAAAAAAATTATTTGGTAAATATTTGCTATTTTAGGACGTAAAATCAAGGAGCTGAATTGGAACATGTTTTGTATAATGTGATCTATATTGTATAAATTGAACAAGTAGAGAAATTGTTCGGATGATTCTTGTTTGGATAGGGATGATTCAATATTGTCGATCGTAGACTTGAACTAATCATATTATATGATGTATATCATTTGGATCGATCAAGTATAGAAGAATTGAGGCAAACTTGAGTTTGTACATATGAATGAAAACGGTCAAGAATAGTTATTGTAGCGAAACGTCTTTTTGTACTCTTGACCAAACCTGATCGTACAGATGAACATGTGTTCGTACGGGATGATTTATCAATAATGATCGTACCTACCGATTAAATTCGTCCACATACAAACTGTCAACATTATTGTACATACGAACAAGTGTTTGTCCGGGATGATTTTCGAACAATACCGCCCTAAATCATAATAAATTCGTTCTAAAGCATTTTACCACGAACAGATGAACGATTTATGATTCACACTGACAATGACGAGTTCGTACAATACGATTATCATGAAAAGATATTAAAAATTTTACTGCCCAATTAAAAAAATCATGAAATTTCTAAAGAATTCTTACAGTACGAAAGTGGTTTGTACAGTACGAATGAAAATCAAATTTTGAATTTGCTCGTGATGATCAAGACACTTTTCTAAAATAAAACAAACAAGTCTCATTTAACACAAAACAAAATCAATAAACGACTAAATCAAAGACAAAATAAAGAAGTACTAAACAAGATAAATAAAAAACCAGAAACCAAAATATAATCATAAACAACAACAAAAAGAACATAATTATATTTCGTAGACTTACAATTTCAATCATGAATATCAATAACATCTAGTCTTGTTCTTAAGGTACTAAAAGTTTCAAAAATCAATGATTTTGTAAAAATATATACAAATTGATTTTCAGTAGCATATGATGTAGCTCTATTTCTCTTTTAGTGACATGGTCCTTAATGAAGTGATTCCTTATATCTATATGCTTGATCCTGGAGTGTTGGATTAGATTTTTTAAAATGCAAATGACATTTGTATTATCACAAAAAATTAGAATAGTACCAATTGAAAAACCTAAATTCATAAGTTGTTGTTTTAATCAAAGAACCTGTGCCACACAACTTCCTAAGACTATATATTCTGCTTTAGTAATAAAAATGGCTATTGAGTTCTATTTTCTACTATACTAGAAAATTAAAGAGTTTCTAATGAATTGACAAGTTCCATAAGTACTTTTTCTATCAACCATACATCCTGTAAAATCAGAATCAAAATATTCAATAACTTTAAAAGAAGTGTTATGCCTAGGATACCAAACCCTAAGTTTTGAGTTTCTAAAAGTCATCTAAATTTTTTTTTAACAGTAGTTAGATGGGATTCTTTTAGATCAGCTTGAAATCTAGCACGAAGATAAATAATAAATATGATATCAAGTATGCTAGCAGTTAAATAAAGTAATGATCTAATCATCCCTCTAATTTTTTTTATCAATAGATTTTCTTTTAGAGTCCTTATCTAACTGACCTGAAGAACTCATGGGAGTACTTATTTGTTTAGATTTATCTATTTCATACTTTTTAAGGATATCTTTAATATATTTTGACTGATTGAGAAAAGTGACATCATCTTTATGCTTTATACTAAAACTAAGAATGTAACTCAAGTCACCCATCAAACTCATTTCAAATTTCTTACTCATTATATTTGAAAAGTCATCACAAAAATTTTTATTAGTTGATCCAAATAAAATATCATCAACATAAATTTAAAAAATGAGAATGTCATCTCCAACTCTTTTTATGAACAGAGTGGTGCCCACACTCTCTTTAACAAAAGATCTTTCTAGTAAGAAAATGTTTAGTCTTTCATACCATGCCCTAGGTGCATGTTTTAGTCCATGCAATGCC